GTTCTTTCTCCTCGTTCTCTTCATTATCATTCATTTTTTCACCATATTTTGGACACAAATAACTTTTGAGGAGTATTTCTGTTTCTCTGGAAAGTCACTTATGGGCTCAGCAGAGTCTGCAGCACCAAGATTGATCAGCATATGATCTGCTATGCTGTGATATGATAGGGGTCAGATGAAACAGCCATTTGAACTGCAGCAGACACCTGAACATATGCCAGAAGTGCTGTGTTCTACTTCTGTCTCCATTGCTGATATGTTGTAGGATCTTAGTCAAGGTACTTGAGAGCCGTTACTTGTATGAGTATTTGTCTTTCTGGTTAATTCTTGTGAATTTCTGCTTATGAAGAGCATATTTGCAAAAGGAAGCAAAGAGTTTGAATAACCTTAAATATAGTTAAACACAATCAGAAAAGCATCAAGGTGGAATGGTTGATATAAGCAGAGTGATGAGGCTTTACAACAGAGCTCTATAAAGTCCTTATCTGTTGTGCACAAGAAGTCTGCATTAAAGAGAACATATGTATTCCGTTCCTAAAAAGGATTCTACAGAGCTGGAATTTTACTTTTTTGTGTGCTATAGGGTATGGATGTTTCACAGGACTTAGAAAGGCCCATACCCACAGTGCACATTAGTAAATTTGGGTTGGCCAACATCTTTCCTTTCCTGAGGTCAGTTTCATGAGCCACCATGGGTAGAAGCATTTCGGCTCACCACTGAAGTAAGAAATATCAGGCAGCTGCTAGGGCAGGAGTCTTGTGTTTGGAAACCCTTAGCTCTCAGTTGAAGTCTTGACCAGAAAAGTGGTTTCCAGTATGTCACTGAGAACTGCCCACGTTTTTTGTTCTCTGTTATATTACCCCTGTTCTCAGATTTTCTGCGTTTTCTTTAATGTTTTCTTTTAATATGTAGAAGTAGTGCTCATCATGCCTTATGACATCACTGGAGTATATCCTGCAGTATTTGTGGAGAAAAAATAAGTGATTCTACTTTGGGGACCAGATACTGAATTTAGCGATCGTTTCTATGCAAGCTAGAAGAAAGTGAGGTGGAAAGACTGGGCAACGCTGTCAACAAAGGATTTTGTAGGAGGAATGCAAGACATATATGGCTAAATATTTGTTTTCAGTGCACTTTTTGCCCTGATGAACATGTGTTTTTCAGACTCCTTTTTCCAGAGCACTAATAACTAGGCCATCTGTTTGTCTCTCTAAATCAGAACAAACTCCATGAAAGCCCACCTTGAAAAACAATTAGGAATTATCAGCTGTTTGTTTTAGCATTTAATAACTGTAATTAGCAAACATAATGACATGTTTGATTATTGCATCCCATGTCTGTGAGCCCAGTGGGAAGCAGAAGATGGGACATATTGATTACAGCAATTGAGCTTCTTCGCTCCCCTCCAATTCTTGAGGCTGTGCATGTAAAATCAGTGTGCAAATCAAGGCTGACTTGAAGCAAGATTAGCCTCTGTGAGTGGGTTGCTTGCAAGAAAGGATGGTTTCTACAAGGGTTTTAATTTAGTACTTTTATCTTAAGTACAGCAAAACCCTAATACAGTGGAAGGTTCAGAAAACCTCATTTCTACTCCTGATCCTTCAGATGTCTTGCTTTGAGATCTGGGGTGAATTTCTTCGCTCTCTGCTCTTTGCTATCACCCTCAGTTAAAAAGGAGATAATAATACAGAAGAGGACAGCTATGTATGAGATGTTAGAACCTCTGTAGAGCCAATGCAAAAAGAATTTCTTCTTTTAATGTTTTTTTTACATTAGGTGGTGTAAATATCCAATTTACACTCTGATAAGGCTGAGGTTTGCAGTTTTAAGGCACCACAGAAAAGCCAATGTTTATTAGTATTTAAAGAGCAGCCACAGTTGCTGAACTCTACAGGTCCTTGAGTGAATTAAACACACTGTGCTCTGGAAGAAACCTGACATTTCTTCATGCAGGCTCTTCAAAAAGTTGTAAATAATGCAAGCATTCATAAAAATTAGGGATTGCTCATGACTAATTGGAAACAAATGAAGGATTTTAATATGCAATGCACTTGTAAGAATAATTTCATCCTATTACTCAAAGCGTAGAGCAGTAATTTTTATCACAAATGAGAAACATTTGTTCCTAAACCTCAGATTTCTTGAGGTTTGCCTCCTGTCTCCTTGTTTAGCCTTGCTACAGGAGGCAATTATTCATCTTTCCACCATCCAGAAAACTCCAACTGGGTCACTATGAAACCTTCCTCCTCCAAAGAGAATTAACCCATTTTCTTCAGTTTGTCCTGGTAACTTCTGACTCCAGAGCCGTATTTATCCTGCTCCCCAAGGGACAGTTCAGCTGAACTGGCAAAGGAGAAGTTTTATCCTGAAGCAAAGACAGCGCAGAAATATTTTGGCCTCTGTTCCCCTTTCTGCAGCTGACAGTCCTTGCATTATTGTTAGCAGAAATATAAATAATTTTCTGACTAAACTTCCAGAAGTCAGATTTTTTTTTTAGAACTCACTTTGGTGGAAATATAATTGGGAAATCAGTCCCTGAACCCAAAACCAATTTTTGATCATGACCAAACTGAGGCAAACAGGAGCATCGTAGTGGTCAGGGCTGTGGGAAGATAGCGACTCTTTTTGGGTGCTTCATATCCTAAGAGAGGATTAGAACTCTGGGCTGGGTTGTCTCCTTCACCTTGTCTCTTAGCACTTTTTCCCTTTGTGGAAATATTTAAATTATTGGGACTGGAGGAGGAGGGGGGAGCCTGACTAAGCAGTGGGCAACATGTTCTTCTGGGATGCAATTCAAGTTCATGTCTCCGCTTCAGTGAATATCTGGAAACTTTTGAAAGCCTTGGTTACATCTTGATATGATGGGAAAGTTTTCAAAACCTTGAAAAGCTTCCCGTGTTGCAAAAAATCTTTCCCACCAACTTCGGTTTCTATATTGGTTTGCCATTCCATAGGCTGGCTTGCTTTTCTGTTGTTCACATCATGCATGATATAATGGTTTTGGCATTGTTATGGTGTGTGAAATAATCCAACAAAGGGAGCATGTGCTTAAAATAAGGATTTTTTAAGGCATGTACGTAGGCCTGAAAATAAAAATGAAGATATTTCCTTGTAAATCACATCCTTGTTACATTACTCCTCCATCCTCATTCTCTCTGGCAGAGGGATGGGACAGCCAGGATGAGATTGAATTCCCTGCATCCTTCTAGCCCTGAATGAGTGTGCTCATTTCAGCAGAGGCACTGGGACTTTGAGAGCAAGAGCCCTATTTGGGCAGGAGTGGAAGGAGCAAGAGGCCTTTCAGGAGTCATTCAGAGAACCAGGACACTGCCCCTTGTGAGCCAAAGGCAAACATTGGGCACATACTGTCAGCAGAGTTTAGACAGGACAGGTTTTGTACTCCATACGTACCCCTGGCTGCAGGGGAACTCAAAATATACATATATATGCTTCTGTGTGACTTGGGTCATATAGAGAGACACATTTTGCTCACCTTTGAGGTGAGCTTGTACCTATCATGGCATCAACAGAATAGACAATCTCAGAGTAAAATGGATGGTGCTGTGCTGTGAGCTGGGAACTGCATCTACAAGTAACCTCTGCCTTGTAATCAGGTAGAAAAACTGTGCCTCGAGGTATGTTCACATATCTCATCAGTTTGATGTCCACCTGCAGGAGATCCTGCAGTGTGAGGCACCTCTGGCTCTAATCTAAATTCTCATCAGAGCAATTCTTCATCCTATGATGAGCTAGTGTTTTTCCAAGGCATGTTTTCTTTCTTTCTTTCCAATCCTACTCCGACAGCAAAGCTTCCTAGGGCTCTTCCTACCAAATCGTGGTGCTTAGGAGCCCTCCAGCAGCCACAGCCCCAAGGAGTGCGTGAGTCCTGTGTCCTATAAGAGGGAACACAAAATGCACGAGTCCTTGCAGAGCTTTTCCTTCTTTTTGGCCAGATAATTTGTTTCAGAGGAAGCATGTGATTTCCCTTTCTCAGAAGTGCTATTTCCCTTAAAGAGATTTAACTTTCAGTTGAAAAGTGCAAATTGATCTGCATTTTTACAGCTTGTTTGCAGGGTTCTAGAAGTTCTGTGCCAGCTTTCTGAACTGTAATTTTGCTATGACTTTTTTTTCCTAGAAAACGATGCTAACACACATCTGACAGCACACAGTTCCTGAAAAAATCGTATGATAATACATGAAGGAATAACTAAACACTGAATGAGGAACCAAATTTCAATTTCAAGCTTATTTAACTTTATTCACTGCAGAGAATAAAACAAGGTGCTATAAAATAGGTTGTATTCACCCCTATGTTTCTGATTGTATATTTCAGGGTAAAGCCACTCTTTGTGGCTGTTCTAAGAATTTCTGTACAACATTAAGTGTCAGACACTGTTTTGAAGGAGTGGATTTTAAGATAGGAAAGTCACAGGGGAAAAATAAAAAACATAATTCAAATTGCCAACATTCTAAATGGAAAGCACAGTAGGCATGAGCTTCTAATCAGAACTTCAGTTTCTAATGAATTGCCAGATAGATTAGCATGTCTGACTGCATAAACATGACTGGAGTATGCTGCATCCAACTGGTGGAACTTTACAAAATGCCTGCCAATGACAGATGCCACCCATGGGTAACAGTGAGAAATACTTAACTACTTTCACTGTCTTGCTGTTGGCCAGCCTCAAACTAGCCACACAGGAGCATTTTTGTAGCACTGCCTGCCTGGAGAAGCATTGGATTGGATTGATGGGATTAGGCGAAAGGCAGAAGAAATGCTAGTAATAATTTTCTTTGTTGTTGTTTTTTTTTCTTTTTCCCTTTCCTTTGGAGCTCCAGCAAATGCAAGCATGTCTTCCTCAATTAGGCAAGCCTGAAAGCTACAAAGAGTGCACAGGCTCTTGAATGTGCCTTAATTTATGTTTATCAATTCAGTGCACATAGTTTTTTTGACGTGTGCTTCCTGCCTGATTTTCTAACAACCCTTTATTTTCCACAGGTGGCCGTGATAAACGAGGTGGTCCTGTCTTGACCTTCCCAGCCCGCAGCAATCATGACAGAATAAGACAGGAAGACCTTCGGAAACTTGTGACTTATTTGGCCAGCGTGCCAAGGTAAAGCTAGAAAGAAAACACTTCAAAGCTCAGTGTGGATGGATGGGTGGGGAACTTGTTCTTGGCAGTTGCTGATTTCCAAGTATTAACCTTTAGTACCTTCAGTTCTTGGGACAGAGTGCTCCTTCCTCCTCCTGCATTTGCTCTAGTGGATTTTATCGTGCAAGCAGTGGTGCAAAGTCCCCGAAAGCAGAGGCAGTGCTCCCAAACCTGGCCTTCAGGCTCAGAAAGCCAGCTCACAGCAGCAGTGAGGAGACACTCTCATTTCCAATGTTTCTGTGCAGCTCCTGGAGGATGGGAAAGGGAGGAGTGCTTGGAGGCTCTGACACTTTCCTGAGTTTTCTCCAAGCTTGAGAAGGAAAGTGGGTGGACTGAAGGGGCAGTTTGCAAAGAGAATTGCTTCAGATGGCTCTGCATGCAGGCCAGCTCTGCTAGAAAGTGCCTTTCTCTATGTTAGTGCCCATGGCTCTTCAACAGGTCTCCATCTCTTTCCCAGGGATGCTGGAAAACAGTTCTATTGCCAGTGCATATTTATCTTTGCATGCTTTAGGAGACAGTTTGTAGGGCTCAGTGCCCTGGTAGGTGTTTCTGAGCCAATGTTTAATGCCTCAGAGAGTACAAGGCAGTGTACAGTCCAAAATCCTTTCCCTATTTTCAAGCCTGTCCACTATCCTCACCCAGTAATCATCACAGTAGGTGAGGGGTACCCCAGGTGAGTGGAGCTGAGAAGGGCTCTTCAGATTTGCAATGATGCACCTTCAGGAATGCTTCCTTTTTCATCCTGGGATACAGCCCATTCAATAATGTTTACGTTATGGCAAAAAGTGAAAAGTCACCCTCTGAAATGGGAGGGGCTGATTGTATCTGGATATCAAGAGGTAAGTGACTAAGAAGTGCACTCAGTTCCTTAAACACTTGATGTGCAGAGAAAATTCTGCATTTGTTACAGAAGAGAAATGAGGGCTTGCAATGGGCAGCAAAGACTTAGGGGCAAAAGAAGGCACATCTACCAACTCTGCCAGTATCATCTCCTGCTGACAGGACTTCACATGGCCGTGGGCAGTGCATTTCTTGCTGCATTGGACTTTTGCTCATCAAGCTTTTACTGATTTGATTTTTCTTTCTAATTTTTTCTGTTCCTTCTCTTTTCCTCTGGGCATCTCTATTTGCAACCATATTGTAAGGAGATTACAGACATGCTGTGAGGTTGGGAGAGCAGTAGGTTACTCCCTGACTGTGTGTCCCAGGGTTTGGCAGTGCCCCTCCTACTGCTCCAGTAATGAAACTGCATCTTACCATCCTTTGCATGGCTGCAGGTAGAAAGATATGAAGTTGTCTGTTTTCCCTCAGAGATGGGTGTTGTGAGCAATTGCATAGTTAAAATGATCTCCTACCATGTCAAACTTCTCTGTTAATTGCTCTTCTTACATGGAGGTGGTAGTAACAGAAAGATGCATCCATTCTGTTCCCTATTCACACAACTGAAGAGGTACCTTTTGCTGCCTTTACTTGCCTCACTGTTAAGAACTAGAGTAAGCCATCTCACGTCTTCTTAAAAACCTCCTCAACTCCATATGCAAACATTTGGCATGGGCATAAATGTTAGGAAGAAGGGATGAACCAGCAGGTGACCTCCTTAGGTTCGTTCTGGTCCTGTTATTCATGGTGCTGCAGCTGAACTTACTGTGGTGGGAGGAAAAAATGATCATAACCTTCAAGGTTTTGGCACATGGCACTATGTAACCTGGGCACTGTGTAGAAACACTGAAAACTCATTTTTCCCTAAACGTTTTGCTCATTGTAGCAAGAGCAACCAGCAGAGCTTTCAAACTTATTTACTTTTTGGAAAAAAATAAATGCAAGGAACAGCCTGAATTCATATCGCTGGCTCCCAGGTCCTATCTATTCCAAGATGACTGCTGTGATGAATAGCTGCATCCGTCATCCACCAGAACTAGCAGTTCCATTAGCTGAGACTCTGGGTATGATGTCGGGAGAAACTACTCTGATGTTTAAAGTGCTGAAAGGGGGAGAAATTCTCTGATAGGTGGAAAAATAGAAATTCTCTTTCAGGAAATGAAAAAAAAAAAAAAAAGAGGGGCTGTAATTTATCTTATTGACACCTGTATAATAACCCTTTCTTTATTCCCACTGCGGTGGTTTTTGAGTGAGACAGATTGCTCTCCACATTGATACTATCTGTCACTTAACCCTGGTTTTATATCTTAATGGAGGGGCAGAGGTGCATATTGCTGGGCGCTGGGCAGAGGCATGAGATTGGTGATGAAACATGATGATAGATTAGGGTAAGTAAAACCTGAGTCTCGCTAGCAGCTCTCAAAGTTTCTGATTCAGCTTTCCATAATTCCTTCTTCAGAAACAGAATAATAATGTGGGTTTTCTGAAAGCAGCAATGTGTGTTTGAGTTAGAGCAGAATAGTGAGTGCTTTCATTGCGCTTGGAGCAGCGGTCAGGCGGGTGCCCGAAGTCAGTGGGGTTTCTCACCCAGCTGAGGTCTGCTGTGTGGGGGTAAGGCTTCATGTCTAGGAACTTCTGATCCTGATCTGGTGCTCCTGGGTACGAAGAGGGGGAGGTGAAGGGCTGGCTGGTTAGCAGCTGTTCACTGATTCTTGTACTGATTCTTGTAGGCATACTGGAAGGTCCTTTTCTCCAAACTGCTGCAGTACAATTAGTTACTAAGAAACTAAAATGCTTTTCATTAGAAGTGAAGATAATTGCCGTGGATGGCAGGTTCCTACTGTTCTGCTGTTTTTAGCTTGTTTCATGTTTTCACAAATGCTTTCTAGATAAGCAAAGTTGTATATCTTGCGAATCAGGACAGCTCCCATTTACATGCAAATTTAAATGGGATGCAATGTTTAGAAATTTGGAGGGCTTATCTGAATCTAGGGTAACATCATGTTTATAATTAGGGGAGCTGAGCTGGTTCAGTAAGGGGGAATTTTCTGGCCTTGCTGAGGATTTTATATCTTAAGACCGATGTAGAACCATCTATTCCTGTAGAGTGAGTTTTGATTTATATGTGTGTAAATGCAACTAGCACCAGGCCAGTCCCTGCTGTGAGCCCTTTGGAATTAAGAATTAAGTTATGCACAGGCTATAGGAGGATAACAAAGAGACAGAATATTATTAGCTTGAGTTATCTCTCTGCGTGGCAAAGCAATACGATGAAGGAAATGTTCTTTGTCAGCTACAGTGAATCTTCCGGCTGAACACATCAATCTGTTTCAGAGCCAAGATAAGCAGTCTTTTGAGCCCTCTGCAGAGGGGGAAACCCAAGATGCTTCAGAGGCCTGTTTTAAAGATATCCACTTTTATTTGTCCTCTGTTTAAAAGCAGCTCAAACATTTCCCAGTTCTGGGGGGCATCCAGGACTCGTAATGGTAGCAAAGTGTTTCCAAGAGGCAGCCCCACATATTTGAGCAGCTTCTCAGAGCTGCCTGAGCCAGATTAAAGCTGCTAGGATCAGTAGAACAACAGAAGCGCTGCTAAAAATGAGTTTAATGATTGGGGCTTTTTAAAATTGAAAGAATAACATGGGTTGGCAAAATGTGGCAATACTCAACGCTCTTGGATTTACTTTAAGCTCTTCTCTGATCACCTGTGGTACTGTGTGTATTAGCTTCTCTGGCCAGTAGTGTGAAACTCATTTTGCTCATTGATAGGAATTAAATCCTACAGCTCTACTTTCACTGACGTGATCCTAGCACAAAAGAAGGTTTTGAGGATTGTTTTTGCTGGAAGCTGTTGTGGACCTACAAACATATTCATGTATTTTAAAAATAATAACAAGGACCTCATAATAATTTGGGTAACTAAATATCTGGTGACAAGTGTGAGATAATTATTCCACTGTACAGTTGCACCAAAATACCACATTAACAAATGAACTGAAGCTAATCAGGCTAATGGAGGTTTAATATTTGCTTCAGACATAAATTGATTTTTTTAGAAAAAGGTAAGCATTTTGGAGAAAGAAGCTTATTAGAAGTATATAGCTGACTTGAATGCTTGTGGATTTTAGAGCCTTTCACCACTTGATAGCCAATTCAAATCCAGTTTTCATTGTACATGGCATAGGTATGTGATGCTGCTACATACCACCGTCTGCTAGGGACTGGAAAGCTTCTGTGGAAGTGACAGCAGCCTCATCCCTCTGAAAGGGCCTCTGACTGTATCACTCTTTTGTACCCTAAGCCACTTACTGACCACATAATGACCAGGTTACGCATTCAGCGCCAAGTTACATCTTTGCCTCTGGTTGTAAGTCAGTTCTCCAAAGTGGTTCTCTGATCTCTTACCAGCTGTGCTAATGACCTGATGAGAACTGCATGTGACATTTTATTCCTAGATATCTGGACGATGTAATTGATGTCAATATTCTGTAGTAAGTCTCTACAGTTCCAGCCTGTAACCAAAAGCTAGCAGAAAATGTAGACTTTCTAGAAATGCGGAGAGAGCAACAACAGCATCAATCAACTTGAAAAAGAGGGAGAGAGTTATGTGATAATAATCCAACATGCAAAACTGAGTGAATGGGGCAAAAATAAATGAGTTAAAATCACAGATAGAAGAAATGAAGCATGCAGCATGTTCCTGTAGCATCTCCAGCTCTGGAGCCCCTGTTGGAAGGGGTATGGGGAATGATCCAAGTATTGTCGCTCCTGTTTTTCAGCAGAGGGATAATAGACTCTCGAGCTCTCTTCTGACAGTGTTTTGTCCAAACCTAGGGTAAATGGGGACTTTCCATATCAATTTCCAAGTTATTTCCTGCCTTCATTTCCTGCTGCTGGTTTCTGGATAGCATAAGGACTGATCCTGCAAAGCTCTGAATCTCAAGCAAATGTCCTCTATTAACTCTGCCTTTTGTGGGAGATACGACCACTCTCAGAGTAGCTCTAGCTCTGTTTGCTGCTGAGAATAGCTCTGCCTTCCAGCTGGGTAGCTGTACAAGTGTTTTCAGACTGGTTTTCTGATGA